AAAAATAAATTTAAAAAAATAAGAATTGAATAAAAAAAATTAAAAGTAAAAAAAAAATTTGAAAACTAACCCCGCCGCCCTGCCATTCTCAATTGATGGGGAGGGAGTATAGTGGAACCTGGCCTTGGGGCGGCAGGGAGAGTAAAGCTGGCCCTGACCGCACGGCCTTGCGTAAGCAATCACATGGTGGGGGTGCCAATGAAATGAATGGCACTGCAACGCTGCTCCCATAGCAGACTGTCAGGCCAAATTTTTTTTTACATAAAATTGTACTGTAAGCACATGGTCCTTGAATAGCTTCAGCCAGGGAGCGACAGTGGCAAGATTCCGCAGACGGCAGCCGAATGTAAATACAGCAGGTAGTGGGCTGGTGCAATAGCCTATAACAGGCTGGACGAAAGAAATCCCCTATGCGACAGCAAATTGACATGACAGGTCATATTTATGGAGACATCAGGGGGTCTCTAAGACCCCTAATGTCACCTAGGGACCCCCGGAGCTGATGAAGCAAAGATCTGGTTTACAAGTAACTTTGAGAGCGTTTTGCAAGACAAGCAAACATTTCTGAAAAATTTTGCCTTGATATACAAGCAAATGTCTTGCAATAAGAGCAAAATTCTGTAGAAAAGCACCACCCGAATAAGGCTGTAGCAGTGCAAGCGATTGTCTGTTTAACGACAATGCAATGTCACATTGGATAGATTCCTTGTTAAGGTTTCACGAAATGAAAAAGATTCCATTGAGTCAAGAGATAGCAGTGATTCCGTTAGTGACAGTGAAAGTCGTCCTACACAATAATCCTCCTCTCTCTTGTCCCCCTCACACCAGCCACAAAGGTACCGGTAATCGGTTTATTTTTCTTTATATTTTGTACAGTATTATATTACAGTACAGTATTGTAATCATTTTTATATGAAAATCTTTGGGTTGTGGAACAAATCATCTGAATTTCCATTATTTCCTATGGGGAAATTCGCTTTGATATACAAGCGCTTTGGATTACAAGCATGCTGCCGGAACGAATTATGCTCGTAAACCAAGGTATTACTGTACATGGAAATAACAAATCTCTGTGGTAATTTGACTCTGTAAAATAAACATAAAACACAAAAGAAAGTCTTTGTGATCATTTCGATCCGTTTCAGTGAGGGTGATCAAACCTTCTGGTGTTCAGTAAATTTAGTGTTTATTCTGGGGATTGTATTGTTACCAGCACATATCCCTTCAAAGTGCGTACTCACCACAAGCTTTTGGCTGTATTCAAGTGTGGTGAAGTCAAGTGTGGTACCGTGATAGGTTGCCACCTGTGCAATAAGCCCATCTGTGAAATTTCCTTGGTACTAAACATTCCACAGTCACCTGTTGGTGGTATTATAACAAAGTGGAAGCAACTGGGATAAACAGCAACTCAGCCACATAAAAATGACAGCACATGCCGACGTGCACAGAAGTCACCAACTGTCTGCAGAGTCAATAGCTACAAACTTCATGTGGCCTTCAGATTGGCACAACAGTGCCTAGAGAGCTTCATGGAATGGGTTTCCATGGCTGAGCAGCTGCATCCAAGCCTTACATCACCAAGTGCAATGCAAAGCATCAGATGCAGTGGTGTAAAGCACGCCACCACTGGACTCTAGAGAAGTGGAGATGTGTTCTCTGGAGTGACGAATCACGCTTCTGTCTGGCAATCCGATGGACGTGTCTGGGGTTGGGGTTGGCGTTTGCCAGGAGAACGGTACTTGCCTGACTGCATTGTGCCAAGTGTAAAGTTTGGTGGATTATGGTGTGGGGTTGTTTCAGGCATTGGGCTTGGCCCCTTAGTTCCAATGAAGGGAACTCTTGAGGCATCAGCATACCAAGATATTTTTTACAATGTCAAGCTCCCAACTTTGTGGGAACAGTTTGGGGATGGCTCCTTCCTGTTCCAACATGACTGCGCACCAGTGCACAAAACAAGGTCCATAAAGACATGGATGAGTGAATTAGAGCGGAGACTGCGAGCCAGGCCTTCTCGTCCAACATCAGTACCTGAGCTCACAAATGCGCTTCTGGAAGAATAGTCAAACATTCCCATAGACACACTCCTAAAGCTTGTGGACAGCCTTACCAGAAGAGTTTAAGCTGTTATAGCGGCAAAAGGGTGGGGCAACTCAATATTGATCCCTCTTTCCTGTGTGCCCATAATTGTAATATTTGTATTGTTGTATGTTGTTAATGTTCCTTATGTGCAGGGGTTCTTGGGGGTTATGCAACACAGGGAACATCAATAAAATATGAAGGTCATAATTCCACTGGCAGCCAAATTGGCATGGCTGTATCAGATACTTGGTTTGCTTGCCATCTTTCTTTCTGGTCTTTTACTGCCTTACAAACCATAACATATTACTGGTGAACCTGGTCATCAGTCTGGGCCCCCTTCAAAAAAAAAAAAAAGGAAGTACAGGAACAGACACCAAAATTGCAATGAGTCTGGTGGGACCTTCTTTACTCAAGACTATCCAGCTATAGCTCCTTGCCGAGACCAGAAACAAGGATATTTCACACGTGTTCAAGTATGTGATGCTTCTAACACATGCTTTAGATAAGTTTTGGGAGGAATTATCTATACCAGATGTATTCATGGTACAGATTAGGGATGCACTGATATCAGCCAAAAATAGCAAATATACTATATCCACATGTTATAAATGAACAGGGACACTCCGTGCAGAGGATTCCTGTTCCTTAATAAACAGGCTGCAGGGAAGAGAAAAAAAACACAAAATACTGAGATTGAGGGGTCTGTGTTCTCAATCTCTTTTAAAAAGGGCAATATCAGTGCTGTTTAGACCCTGAACATTTCCCCGAAGCCCCTAAAATGTAAATATTTAATAACATTTTAAAAGTTTAAAAAAATATTATATATTTTTTTTAAATTAAAAAAAGTTAAGAAAAA